CACAGAGGTGAGTGAGAGCAGGCGACAGAGCAGGAACTGGCCATCAGAGCACACAGCGCAGGCAGGACTGGTGGGGTGTCAGTACGGCCCCTGGTTCCTAGGGGGAGGGGTGGCTTTCACATATACGGTCATGTGTGCCCCCAGGCACACACACAGAGCCTGGAACAGAGGGGGTACCCCTTTTCCTGGGGTACCTGCCTCTCAGGCCGTTTGACCCACCCTGCGCCTCTGTAGACAGATTGGAACACACAGCTCTCGTCTAAGGGGCTCATTTACTCCCCTGGGAAAGGAGGCCCCGAGACAGCAAGACCACAGGGCAGGAAGAGGCTGCCACAGGCCCTGGATGGTGCTCACCCTCTTGGCCTCTCATCTGCCACCCTGTCACTAAGTTGATACTGTCCTTGCTGGTGGGTCATGGCTGGAGGTAGGCTTCTCCCCACGGGTAGGTCGTGGGGCCTTTGAGCCCCCTGTTGGCTAGCTCAGAGGAGCCAGTGGGGCAAGTGTGTCCCCACTACTGAGCTCTTGAACTGGCCACACCTTTGACCGCACCCAGGAAGTGTGTGTATATATATATATATATAGTGATATATATATACATATTTGCAGTGTCATTTTTGTCACTTTTTAAATTTAAACAATTAAAATTTTAAAAATCACAAACAGCAGCAGCCATGTTTGCAGCCCACCCCACCCCCCAGCTGACACTCCCACGGCTATCGGAGCCCCTCCTCACACCAGTCACCACCATCTCGGGCATCTCCGCGTGCCATCCCTTCAGCCCGTCGCCCCCAGCCAGCCCTTCGTGAATATTTCCCACACAGCTCCAAATGCAGCCGAGAGGGTCCTCCGCCGTCTCCATTTCCTTTCTCGCCTCCCCCCAAGCTCAGCCCACCCCATGCTGATGCCAGCCCCAAATCCGTACCCCTCCCCTGCTCCCAGAAGCCAGGGAGGCCCAGCCTGTCTTGCAGAACTCGCGGCTGGGCTTTGCCCCGAAGCCGTCACCGGGGCTGGCAGCCAGCAAGAGAGCCAGGAGGGGCAGGAGGGCGAGCGGCCCCCTCCTCGGGCCTGGCGCCCCACCCACCCAGCCGGCGGCCTGTCTGCCTTCCTGAGCTCATTAACTGCAGGTCAGTGTTCAGCAGGAAAGACAAGGCGTGGGTTCTGCGGGCGTTCATTAGCCGTGAGAGGAACAGTGTGTGTGAAATTAGCAGTCACCTGAGGACCTCGATAATTTCATAATTAGGAGGCCTAATGGCTCCAGCTCTGGATGCCAAATGACTTAACCCCTCGCCTGCTGGGCCCCCAACCCCCAGCCCAAGGCTGCAGGGGAGGGCCCCCTCTGCTCCAGGCCCCCTTCCAAGGGCCAGTCAGGTTCATTTCTGCCACCCCAGTGGCACAGAGCGGGTTGGAAAGTGGTTTATGGAGTGAATGAATGAATGCATGTATGAATGAATGAACAGGTGTCTGAATGAGGAAAGACTTCCAGCCCACATCGCAGGTGCTCAGGGGATGAACACTTCAAAAGGGGTGAGGAGTGACTTTCCATCTGCAGAAGTGGGTGGCTGTGCACATGCCTCTGTGTGTGTGCACGCACGTGCAAGCAGGAGAGTACACGCACGCACACACACACACACACACACACACACGTGGATCTCTGATGTCTGCTTCTAGGAGCCTTGTGTGGGTCTGTGTCCAAGCTTCCACCTGTGGACACACTCATTCTTCTGCACCTGTCTCAGTGATGGGGCCCTGGGGCCTCCGCTGGCACCAGCCTCTCCTGGCACTCCCAAATAATAGTGGCTCCAGAACCGCCATGTGGGGAGCTCAGGGGGCAGCGGAAGGGGGATGAGTATGAGGGGGTGTTGCCTTGACCCTATGTTCCACACAGCAAGCACACTGCTTTGAGTTAGACGGAGCGTTTGTAATTCTGGGGACTGGTGTTGACAGTGGGAGGCTGAAGTCACAGCACATGGGGGTGCTGACTGGGACAGCCTCCCCGGGGGGCCTCAAGAAGGGGAGGCCAAAAGGAGGGCCGGGGGCTGGGGGCTATGGGGCTCCAGGCCTTCCCCAACCTGGGGCAATTGGTTCTGGCCCCCTCCCCTAATGATAAGGAGGAAGTGGGGAGGATGTGGGTGGGGTGAGCGAAGAGGAGAATGGGGAAAGGGGGAGAAGGGGAGGTGTGGGGAGAACAATGAAGGAACAGAGGAAGAAGGGAGGGGAAGGAGGTGAGAGGATGGGCGGGGAGGCAGGAGGCTGAGAGCATTATCCGCACTTAAAAAGCGAGCGGCTCAGTTCTTCTTTGGCACAAATGATGGCTTTTTATGAATAAATCATGTGTCAGACGCCTCCCAGGGAGTGGGCACGGAGGGGGGCGCGTCTGCTGGGCTCCATGGCTGGCGGGGAAGGGCCAGTTGCAGACCCCCAGCTGCAGGGGGTGTTGCCCCCTTCTCCCGATGGGGCCCAGCAGGACAGAAGCTTTCTCTGGAATTACAGCTGGTCCGAGCGGACAGCGCCCGGTCATCGCTCCGAGGTGGCCTCCTGGCTCCCGGCTCATGAGCTGGGCTGGATCCCAGGGGCCGGAGTGTCGCTCTGCTCTCCCCTCCCCCAAAGCCGCTCCTGGCAGGGGAACACCAGTGTGGGTGCTTTCCGAGAGAGAGGGATATGCCAAGACAGGCAGGCACACCCAGCGAGTGCACATGTGGGCTCGGTCCCCACAGCCCGCACACACAGATGGGCACACTCGGAGATGGCTACACTGTCATCCCCACCACACGCACACACGCTCAGCCATGTGCACAGAGAGGGAGACCCGCCCCTCCCACCACACTCACACACACACATACACACAGGCATGGGGCCTACACGGACACGTGCATACCTGCACACCAGCAGCCCACCCTCCATCAGCCGAGGGTGGGGGCGGCCTTGCAACCCATATGGAGCCCAGACACAGCTGGGCTGCCTGAGTCTGGCTGTGGGGTGGGGCTGGGACATCTGTCCCAGGGGAGGGCCCGTCAGCCTCTATGTGCACCCCACTCAGTGGGGACACCTGCCATGCCACCTCCAGGGAGGGCTTAGCCCCCACTCAGAGCCCAGAACCTGTGGCGATCCTGCTGGCTCTGAGCAAGTGCGTTTATTCGGCTTCGGGCAGCCCTCTCTGGCTGTTCCACCATCACCACCACCACCAACACACACACACACACACACACACACACACACACACACACGGGCAGGGTCAGGGGAAAACCAGGGCAGTAGCGGTACATGGGTGGGTCTGGGACCCCTGGCCCCATCCCTTGCTATAGCCAGCGACCTCGGACAACAGCTCCAATCCCACTTGCCCCTCTAAACAAACCCAAGAGAAAGGTGCTTCCAGACCAACAAGGGGAGGCTCTGGGAGGGAAGTTTTGGGCCTGCCTTTCCAGGACTCCGTTCTTTTCACAAACTCTAGGACCTCACAGTGTCCTGGTTTTCCTTCTCTCCCTCGGTTGCCCCTTCTCAGCCAGTGGGGATCCTTCTTGTGCCAGATCAGGGCTCACAGCTCCTCCCACTTTGCAAACCCCAACCCCTACCCAGGTCACTCCCAACACCACATGGCAACCTCTGGGTGCTGATTCTCCAGCCCGGATGCCTCCCTGGACTCTCACGCCTCTATCCTGATGGGCATCACCAGGCCACATGCTGATGCCAGGGACGCCACCCACGCAGGATACACGCTCCTGAGCCTCTCCCCAGAATCCCAAGAATCCCATAGGCTGTAACTGAAACCGAGCTTGTCCCAGGCTTACCACAGCTCCCCCAAGGCTGCTCTCAATGCTCCCCATCTCAGGGAACCGCCCTTTCTGCCCAGGAACCCAACAGAAAGCAGGCAGCACTAGATGCTTCCCTCCCTCATCGCCCGTGCCCAGTTCACAGCCAAGCTCTACATGCGCAATGCCAGGGAAGCCATCCTTGAGCCTCCAACCCCACTGCCGCCGGCTCGGCTACTATCAGCACCCCTGGCCTGGCCACTGCCGCTCTCCCGCCCGCCGCTGCCCCCGGCCCATTTGTCTAATGCCATCTGAGCTTTAGCTGCACTCAGCTCTTCCGGCTCTGGAATCCATGCGCTCTCTTGCCCCTGGGCCTTTGAACGTGCAGTTGTGCAGTTCCCTGTTTCTGTCCCTCTCCTTCCCCAGGGCCCACTCATTGTCCAGGTGCTCAGACAGCTCCCCCTCCGAGCACCTTCCCTGCCTCCTGCATCCAGGAGGAGCTCCGCCCACCCTTCACCCCACCACTGCCCCCAGCTGCTGCATTCATCACAGCTCTGATCCATAATCCCCTGTTTACTCCTCTTCAGGCCCCACAACCCAGGAGGGCCTTAAGGGCTGCTCTCTTGGAGTAAGCAGGGACACACAGCAGGTGCTCACTAAACCCCCCATGAAAGAATTCATACATGCAGGACTTGTGCTGAGTACTTCACAGACTCTTCTCATGAGAGCTGGGAGACGGGTGCTCGCGCCCTATAGTCTAGCCTAGGAAAACAAGGCCACCCGGCTGGCAGGCGGTGGAGAATGGTCCCAATGGAAGTCTCTGCAGCTTCAAAGGCTTCTCTCTTCACCATCCCCACTCCACCTTCTCAAGGTCCTGACTTGGTTTTATCATCGGCACAATGGGTATGAAAATCATGCCCAACATGGGGCCTGGCTCTAACAGGTTCACAGGAAACACGGTGCCCCCTCCACCAATTTCTGAGGCAAATTCCCACCAGAACTACCCCCAGGAGATAAGCATTCCGCCTGCACCTGGCCACAGAAACAGGTGCAGGGTCTCCCCAGACCACAGTCCTGAACTCTGGCACTATGTGCCCCCAGCAGAGCTGCACCAGTGAATGCTGAGGCATACCTAGACACACAGCCACAGCAGCCGCTGAGCCACAGGGGGCCCCCAAAGCGGCCAGGATGCCGGCCCATCACCCTCCACCGTCCCTCCCCCACCCTGCCCTGCCCCTGGCCCAAAGCGCGGGAAATATTTAAAACAATTTTATTCATGAAAATATGCTGTACAATGCACTCTACACGGCCTGGACACGGCACACACGCACACGCACACGCTGACGGCACGGCCACGGTACACTGCCTACGATACGAGCCGGGGACGCCGCGCCCACCGCCCGCCCCGACCGCACACTTATAAATACGGGAGAGAGGGGCCGGGACTGGTGTGCGGGGAGGGGTATCAGGCTGGGAGTGGATCCAGAGCTGAGGCCCACTGGAGGGGCTGAGACCAGTACTGAGGAGAGCAGTGGGGGACCTGGCTAGGGCCAACAAGGACGGGACAAGGAGGCTGAACTGTGGGCGGGCATGTCGTTGGATGGTGGGGAAGAGCTTTCCTGGGCTGGGGGGTGGCCGGCTTCCGGTGGGTGAGGCTGGGAGTCAGACTGCAGCAGGGATGGGTGATGCTCCCACCCGAAACTGAAGGTTCCCGAACGCCCCCTGCCCCGTCTCCCAGTTGGCTTCCTGACCAGCATTGACACCCAGGTGGCCCCCGTGCTCTTCCCCACCTCCCCACCGCACCCATCCCGGAATTTGGCCTCCTCTCCCAGCTGGAGAGCAGCCCGGGGGAGGGGGCGGGGAGGGAGGTGGGCAGAAATGGAGATGCCCCAGCACCTCCCTCCCGCTTCCCTCAGTGGCCAACTTCTGAGGGTCATTTCTTGCGGGGCGGGGGCTGCCTCCTGCGTGCTCGGCGGAGCCGGGTCGGGGGTGGGGGATCCAGGGATCAGGACGGGAAGACGGCGGCCCCTTGGGGTCGGGCCGGGGGCACCCGGGGCATGGGAGCAGCCCTCAGCCCGGCACCCAGCTCTGGTTGGGCGGCGGGGCGCCCGCCAGGCCGGGCGGCGGCGGCGGCAGAGCCGAGTCGAAGTTGAAGTCCATCTCGTCGCTGTCCATGAAGTCGTTGAGGATGATGGACTCGACGTCGCACTCCAGGCTCCCGCTGAACATGTCGAGGTCCAGGTCGGCCGGGAAGCGGTCGGGCGCAGGCACCCAGCGGCCCGGCGGCGGCCGCTGCGTACGGCCCGGGCAGCGCGTCCAGGAGGCCGCCCGGCGGACCCCCGAAGGCGCCGGCGTGGCCGGGCGGCGCGAGGCCTGCGGCGCTCGCCTCGCCGGGCAGCGTCATAAGGCTGATGGGGTGGGCTAAGGCACTGCGCGAGGGCGCGGGCGGCGCGTACGGGGTGGCCCCCTTGCCGGGGTAGGCGGCGGCCGCGCCCGCCAGCGCCAGCTCCCCGGGCGCACCCAGCACCGGGCCCGGCCTGGGCGCTGGGGGCGGTGGCGGCAGCAGCGCGGGCAGCGCCCCGGGGCGGAAGGGCGCGGTGGCCGGCGCGAAGCTAGCCTGCTTGTTCTCCTGGATGGTCTGCATGGGCAGGCGGCGCAGCCCGCCCAGCGCCGGCGGCCCGAAGCCCCCGCCCCCGCCGTAGGCGCCGCCCTTACAACCACTGAAGTAGGCGGGCGTCCCGGCGCGGGCCCGCGGCCCGTAGGCGTCCTGCGCGCCGTCTAGCAAGGCCTCCGGCAGCCCGGTGCCGCCACCGCCGCTGTGCAGGCCCAGCGGGCCTCCCAGCTCGGCCAGGCGGGGCAGCTCCCCTGGGCAGCGCGCGCCCAGCGCCGGCGACAGCGCGCTCGCGGGGCTGGGGTACATGAGCGGCGACGACGGCGCCAGGGCCTCCAGGGCCTCGTCGTCCTCCAGCTCGGCCGCCTCCCCGAGGAGAGGTCTCCCGCCGCTGCGGTACTCAGCCCACGCCTCATAGTCGTCGCTGGCGTGCGAGGCTGGGCTGGCGGCCCACTTGGCAGCCACAGGCACTGGCCCTGGGGCAGGCGCGCCCGGGGGGCTGTGGTCCGGGCTCCGCTCGGGTGCCTGCAGCTGCTTCTTCTTGCTTGCCTTGCCCTTGATGCGCAGGAACTTGGCTCCGTTGTCCATCGACACGGCCCTGCGCCGCGGGGTCTTCCCTGTCTTCCCGCCCTCGGGGTTCAGCATCCACCACGAGCTCTTGCCAGTGCCCTCGTTCTGCACGCGGATGAAACGGGTGTGCAGAGACAGGTTGTGCCGGATGGAGTTCTGTGGCCAGAGAGAGGGGCAGAGGGGAGAAGAGGCGAGGTTGGGGGTGGAGGCGTGGGGAAGACGGAAGGGTGCATGGGGGGGAATAGGGGAGGGACAGAAGGGCAGGTGTAAGTAACACGTCGGATAAACCCCTTGAACTTCCTTCCTCCACCCTAGAACCACAACCCCAGCCGACCCCACCCACACCCAGCCGCCCAGAGGGTGGCGCTGGCGCGGTGGCCCGGCCTGTGGCTGCAGGCATGGCCACCCCAAGGGCTACTCATGAGACTGCAGGGACATGCGGGCGGTGGGCAGGACCCCCTTCTCCCCGGCCCAGCCCAGCCCCACGTGGGGCCAGCCGGGCTGCCAGGGCCCCCAGCAGATTATGTAAGGGCTCACACCGCTGCGGCTCATTTGGCGGCCCCCTCCCTCCCCAGCCTGGCACGGCGCCAGGAGCCCGAAAACCCAGGGCTCCAGAAATCAATCTCGCGGTGACTGATTAAGCCCTGTTTAGAACTAATTGCTCTTTCGTGTGTGGGGAGAATAAATTACCTGCTTTAATTTTGTGTCTTTAAAATGCAACTGCAGGTAGAGAAGACTGTTAACCCTTTGCTGGGAGGTCTTGGCCAGGGAAAGCCGAATAGGGCTGGGGGGTCCCCAAGGTGGGTATGGTCCAAGAATTTCCAGAGAGTTCCCCCAACTCCCTTGAGCGCTTGTGAACTCCACAGAGGCCTTGGATCCCACCAGACCCCTCAAAAGACAACCTCTGGCCATGGAGACCCCAGCCCTGCTCAGTTCCTGCCTGCAGGAAGCCCCCACTTCAGCTCACCTCTTGGGCTGCAGCCCACCCTCTCCTGAGCCACCTGCGTGTCACTGCCCTCAAAGGGCCACAAAGTAGGTAGCATTATCCCCATGAACAAACAAGACCCAGGCTCAGAGAGGTGCTGTGGCTTGCTCAAGGCCACACAGCACTGCTTTTTCTGCTGATGATCACCTCCTCTTTTGCCACCCAGCATTACTTGGTGTCCGTGCCAGCCTCCAGTGCACCCCTGTGCCACTGCCTGCGATGGCCTGATGTGGGCATGGGAAGGCAGGGGCACCCTCAGCTCCACTGACCTGCTCCCCACCTCTGGGGCCTCCACCTGCTGCTCAGGCATCGCTGTGCAACACCCCAGGGCTGAGCAGGGTGCTTGGCCCTTTGGCCACCTAACTGTGACCATGGGCTGTTCATCAATCCCTGCGGGCCTCAGTGGACTACACAGAAACAATGGGCCAGGCTTAGCAGGCACCTCGTAAGGCCGCTAGGTCATCAAGAGAGTGTGTGCAGGGAACACACCAGGTGCTCATAAATGGAGAGAACGCCCCCACTCTGCCCGGACCTCACCTCGCAGATCACCCCGCACGCACACCTGCTCTGTCCGCACCTCTTTAACATTGTGTTTTGAGTGCGGCTGTGCCCGGCACCCACAACTCTGGGAAACTGGCTTTGCCTGTCTCCTCTCCCAGGGGACCGAGGCCCTCGACATGATGTAATCTGCCCACGGTCCCAAGGCTAGGCAGCGATGCCAGCTACACACAGCTCTGCCCAGCTCCTCAGCCTGCTCCTAACCTGTTAATCCGCCCAGCTGCATGCCCTGGGGAGGGCTCTGCCTCCAGCCTCCTGCTCACCGGTCGGTCTCAGGAGGAGAGGTCCTTCTGGCTGCCCAGGGCCCCTCTGCCCCTCACCCCTGGCTCCAGGTCCTAACCTGGCTTCAGCATGCCAGGCTCCCTGTCTCTGGCACTTTCTAGCCGTGAGAGGTGACAGCTGGCGCTTGCCTGCCTCACCCCGCCTGCCTTCTCCTGGGACCCTGAGAGGGGAGCTGACCTCCAGGGATGGGTGCTCCCCTAGGTAGTATGCCCTTCCCTGTTCCCGCCCCTGCACCTGGCTCCTCAGCCCCTCCCCCACACCTGTGTTCAGGGTCCTTGGGGGCCTCCATTCTCCTCCCCAGGCCTGTCTCGTTTCTCAGAGGCTCCACCTCCCCCCACCCCACTTGTCTAGGTGGAAGTCAGTCGGGCAGCTCCTCTTTATCAATGTCATTACCTGCACCCTAGATCCGAGTGCTGGAGGTGGGGAAAGGGACAGCACCAGGGACCAGCACCTGGTCGGTACCATCTTCAGCCCCGGGGGTGCTAAGGCTTTATCCCACATAATGCTTCTGGCAAACTCCACACGAGTCAGGGACTGTGACCCCTGTCCTCAGATGAGGAGAGTGAGGTTCAGGGACATCGAGTAGCCCCACGGCTTGCTGGGCCCAGGGCCAGGCCTGGACTGCAGGTGGGTCTTCGTCTGATTCTATGGGCATGGGTTCCACACGGGAGAGGGAAACGGGCCCTAGAATTCCCAAAGAATCCTGGGAAGCCACTGCTCCAGGGCTCCTCCAGCTTCCCATGTGCACTCTCCTTAGGCACTGGGGCACCTTGCAAGGTCAAAGCTTCCTCCAACTCCTGGACTTCCTTTTAAGGATTCAAGGGGCTTCTGTATCTACTTCATAACATATGTGCACTTTCTTTATAAACAATTACAAAGATGTTTTAAATCACCACCAAGGTGTGCTAGCTCAAGCCCCGGCCTGAAATCATGGCTGGGCCATGCAGGAAGAAGGAAGGACTAGGGCAGGGTCACACAGGGCCCAGCGGCAGAGCAGGGAGTAAGACCCGGCCCGGTGCTCCTTCCACTCCATCAAACTTGACCCAGGCCAAGTCCTTCCTCCTCCCTGGCCCTCAGTTTCCCCTCCTGAGATGGGCCAGTTGTACTATGAGACCTTTTTCAATTTGACACTGAAAACTCCAGAATCACCTAATCCACAGGAAGTAGCACTCTTTGTAAAGGAAACCGTATGCAAAACTTAGCCGTGCACTCTCAAGCCATCAGGTGGAGGTGGGAGGACCAGAACCCTGCCCATGGGCACCCGCCCTCATGGTGATGGAGGCAGTGGAGACCTATGGGGTGGCACGCCTTGCTCAAGGCCGCCCAGGGAGGCGGCTCAGAGCTGGGTGAGGGCCTAGGCGTCAGACTGCTACGCTGGTTTCCATACCAGGTGTGCACAGGCCCTACAGCTCAGAACCCATCAGAGCTCCCCACCAAGACCCAGTAGCAAGTGTTCATCACCACTCCGACTCCCCTGCAAGGCCTCCTGGGAGGCCAGAGGCCATGGAGGAGGTGAGGGAGATGCCTCTGCCAGGCAGCAGTAACCAGGGCTCGCTCTTAGAGTCGCCTAGCAACCCACCACACAGTCTGGGCCCTGGCATGCCCAGGCTCCCCTGGTGCCCAGAGCCGGGCCTGGCTTCTGGGGCCTCACGCCTCCCACATCTCCACCAGGGTTGGAGCACGTTCCTGGGGGAGATGGGACCTCCCTGGTTCAGGGCCCCAAGGAGGCCATTTGGGGGTCAAGGGAAAAGTGGAATAGGTCCCCACTCCATCAGATCATGGGCCAGGAGACCAACGCCCCGGGGCCTCACTCCCCAGGGAGCAGAGGCTGGGGCAGGGTAATCGGCATGGGCCCTGGTGTTGGATCTGGATTCCAGTTTCAGCCGCAGCACCCAGGAATGGCGCAACCCTGGAGCGATTTTCTTTGAAGCCCCATTTCTTTAGCTCCCTGCTTCCACTCGAGCAGCAAGAGGGACCCTTTACAGAACGGGGATCATGTTCAGGCCTCCCCAGACTCCTCTGATGCCCTGCATGTCCCTGAGTAATGAACAAAGACCTTGCCTTCATCCCGAGCCCCTCCATAGCCCCCATTCTGCCTCCGTCTCCCTCCTGTTCTCCCAGCTCACCAGGCATGGTCCCACCTGTCCTCAGGTACCCACAGAGCTCTCTGCTCTCCACCAGGTCCTGGCTCAGGTGTCACCTCTTGCAGGAAGACCTCTGCTGCCCCCTACTCAAAAAACTGCTCTTCAGGGCGGCAGCGCCAGAATCCCATACGGGCGCTGGTTCAAGTCCTGGCTGCTCCACTTTTGATCCAGCTCCCTGCTAGTGTACCAGGGAAAGCAGTGGAAGATGGCCCAAGTGCTTGGGCCCCTGCACCCACATGAGAGACAGGAAAAAACTCCTGGTTCCTGCCTTTGGTCTGGCCCAGCCCCGGCTGCTGCAGCCATTTATTGCAGGGGATGGAAGACCTCTCTCTCTGTCTCCCCCCTCCTCTTCTCTCTCTATAACGTGCCTTTCAAATAAATAAATCTTAAAAAAAAAAAAAAACTGCTCTTCTCAAACCATTTGTTGGCCCCTTTACCCTGTTCTAATTTTTTCCAAAGCAATTATTATTTTCTAAATTAATACAATTTATTTATCCTTTGTTTTAATTATTATCTGGCTACCCTTATGGTATTAGAACGTAAGTCTCGTGGAGGCAGTGATACTTGTCCATTTTTTTCTTACTGTATCCCATGTGTTTGGTCCACACTAGGCACTTATATGATGAATGAGGCGGGGAGGGGAGTGACATTGTGCTTTGGGGAGCACTAAGAGCCTGGGTAGTGCGGCTGGCACACAACACGTGCTGTTCCAGACCGGGCTGAGCCACAGGAACACAGGACAGGAAGGGAAACCAGCAGTGGAGGTAGGAGAGTCAAGAGCGATGCCACACCCAGAAGGGACCACGGGAGGACAGGGGGTCGCTGAGAGGTGGGGCAGGGCCCGCAAGCGAGCCACAGCGCCCACCCTGCACCCCAGGAAACCTCTCTCTTGTAGCCCGGGGCCCATTCCAGTGCCTGTAGAACAGGATCGCCTGGCCCTTGCTGACGGGTGCCTCGCACATGGCCCGGGCCTGATCCATGTGGCGGCGGCAGCTCATCCATCCCGCGGGACACCGCCATCCATTCCCAGGACACCCCGCGCCCATGAGCAGTAACGCATTCATCTGACAGCACGCCCCCATTCATCCAGCACCCCCGCCCCATTTATCCCGCAAGTACAAGCTCATTTGCTAACAGCACTCCATTCACCTGACGGGGCCCCTCATTTATCCAGCAGGACACCCTCA